CAGTTCTGGAATTTGATTTGTTTAGGGCAAATATTTATTTTAATCACATTCTGAATTCCTTTAACACTTTTGTTTGTTTTCTAAACAAAAAGTAAGATTTGGAACGTCATATCCACATAACAGGGTGATTTAAGTCCCTCACTTTGTAGGATCGTTAGAAGTAGTGGTTCAATTCCTTTCAGTGGCATTGGCCGAGCAGCTAATGTTTACGTCAAGCAACTAGGGGTTTAAGTTTCCCTTCCTTTTTGATTCAATAAAAAACAAACATTTTTTGCCAGTACCACTTCTAAAGGGTAACTTTTTAGCTATGCAGGGTGAGATAAAAAAACTTCAACAAAGTCAAACGACATAATTTTAGCATCACATTTTTAGAATATGTTAAGATGTGTTCGAATTGGTTACCTTTGGCACGAATTATGGCCTTCAAACGGCCAATGAAACCGTTACAGGCTGCCCGAATGTTGCCTTACGGTATTTTGGCCCATTTCCAGTGAAGCGCTTGCTTGAGGTGTCCGACACTTTGGTACTTTTTAGTACCAACTTTGCTTATCAAAATACTCCAGACACAATAATCCAACGGATTGGTACCCGGAGATTTTGGTGGCCATTGTGCGTTGAAAATGAATCGAGGCAGCTCATTTTGTAACCATTCTTGAGTGGTGCGTGCTGAATGCGATAGTGCATAGTCCTGTTGGAATGTCCAAGGTCTGCGGCCAAAATGTTAGCGTGCCCAAGGGGTTAATACATCCTCCAGAATATTTTCGCGATAATATTCGATATTTATTCTGATGCCACGGTGGATTAATACAAGCGGAGAGTGACCATCGCCTGTTATGGCGACCAACACTATCACCATGGCCGGCACTTGAGTTCTGGTGGCCAACCGAAGGTGCACTTTTTTAGCTGACCTCTTTGGCAAGTAAACACGATCATTTTGTTTGTTTACAAACTGCTGGACAACGAATGTTTTCTCATCGGAGAAAACCAAATTCGGCAGTTCACCACTTTCAGCCAAGCGAAGCACCTCTTTAGCTCTTTTGAGTCTATTTTTTTCTGTTGCGGTGTAAGTTCTTGCACTTTTTGGAATTTTAATGGCTTTACACCGAGCTAAGTTTTCAGTATTTGCCGAATGGAATATAGCGATATGTTCAGCGCACGAGCCATTTTCGGCCACGGCGATGCGGGTTCAAATCAAGTCGCCTCTTTACTTTTCGAACCATTTCTGCTGATGTTGCTGTTTGCTGACGTCGGGCTACGCTACCAGTATCACGGTAACGGCAACGGGACACAAAAGATTTATTCACATTTAAATGCTGGAGTCCTCTAACGATAGCCACTTGTGGTTTTCCAGCCAAATATAAAGAAATCACACTATCACGCTTGAATTTCATCACGAATAACTTTTTTTCTGGAAAATTCTTACCAAAATGGTTTTGTATACTTGTAAACTGTCACTGGAATAATTTTAACAGCTGTCGGACGAGTGGCTTCGAAATGACAGCAGTCTGAAGTTGGTTGCAGATTTTCATCACGAACGTCGCTTGCAAATCAGACAGCAGTCTGAAGTTGGTTGCAGATTTTCATCACGAACGTCGCTTGCAAATCATTGAATTTTATTACAACAAGTTAAATAGTATCAGCCGGGTTAGCCGGCGGATGTATACCCCCAGCCTTGCGTTATGAGGATTCAAACTGTTGACCACTTATGGGGGTAGCTCCGAAGAAGTCGGACAATATTATCTATTTCGCATCTGACCTAAGTCTGATATAAATCTTACAATGTACCAGATTTGATTATTGTGACCCTTTATAGGAGGAGGTATCAGAAGAGGTAAACCGATTTTGTTAGCAGAAATACTCGAATATGCGAAAATTAGAAAGGATTCGATGCTTATTTCACATTTTATGAGAAATATAATTATTCAAAATTTTGTGCCCGTTATGGATGAGGTACACGAAGGAGTGATCCGATATATTTCATCTTCATGCCAGATCTTGTGTTGATAGAAATATTCATATGTGTCGAGTCTGAAGGGAATCGGATGTTAATTTCGCGTTTTATGAGTTTCATGGATAAATGACCCTTTGAGGGGGAGGTACCAGAAGGAGTGGGTCCATACATCCCACTTGGAGTGAAAATCCGACGAATGTTTTGCAAAATCGATGCATCTAGAAAAAGTCACAGTTTGGTGCGGTTTATGGGTGGATGGCATTATTGGACCGTAATTCTTCAAGCGGTACCGTAAAATGAAACCCAACTTTTTTAGCCCAAAATGCAAGGTTTGACTTGCAAGGCATGTGATTTAAACAAGACGGAGCAACATGCCACACAACACGCGTATTTATTGGGAGTCTGCTTAACATTTGAGGTTACTTATCCGCACAGATCGTGCGATTTTACGCCTTTATACTATTTTCGTGGGGCCATGTTAATGCTCATGTCTATACGGAAGAGTTCGATTCAATTGACGCATTGGAAGACAACGTTGAAGCATTTATTCGTGAGATGTCGGTCGAAAAATTAGAAGGAATAATTTGGTGTCCGATGGAATTGCAATTTTCGAGTTTCGAAAAAACGAAAGTTGTGCTGAATTGTGCTAGGTTTGTGTCGATTTTTTTTCAAAAATCGAAAAATATCAGAGATATTCGCAAAAGGATTTTTTAAGGATCTAAGAGAATTGGAATTTTCGAATTTCAAAAAAAAAAAAATAAATAAATAAATGAATGTATAAATAAATTTGAAAATTGCAATTCCCTCAGATTTTTAAATGCTAGGCAAAATGTGCGAACGTTTTCGGGCCTCTTAGTATTTTTCTGGTCATGACTACATAATAGCCGTACATAAGTTTGGTTTAGGGGTCCGAAACTCTTTTGGTACTATAGAATACTTGGTACTTCATCCCAATAATTTTATTAACCTAAGGTATGTCGTTAAGATGGGAAATATTGGTCCACTCCTTCCGGTACGTCTCCCACAAAAGGTCGAAATTTAAAAAAAAATATTTTCTGCACAGAAAGTAAAAGGATAATCTGGTTTTGAACTAACTTTGCAAATCCGAATATTTGCGTCAGTACTAGGTCAGGTGCGAAAATGGACAATATCGGTCCACTCTATCAAGGGTCACAATTTTAATAATTACAACTCTTATAAAACATGACTTTCACACATCCTAATAATTATACCCTTCACCTTATAAAGGAGGATATATTAACTTTGTCATTCCGTTTGTAATATCCCTAAATATTCATCGAAGACCCCATAAAGTATGTATATTCATAAACAGCATAAAATTCTAAGTTGATTTAACGATGACCGTCGGTCTGCCCGTCTGTCTGTGGAAATCACGATGCAGCCCACATTATTTGACGTAGAGCGTCAAAATTTAGCAGAACAATTAGTATTGTGACTAGGATGGTTCGTATTGAAAATGAGACATATAGGTCCACGTTTGGATATAGTCCCCATATAATGGTACCTCCCGATATTCGGTATCTGAAAATTGGTATTTGTAGGGTATTTTGATGATTTTTGGCACATTTTCCTACGAAATTTTCTAAAAATTGGAATTTGCTGGCCATAATGGGTTCCAACTCCGGTGCCTAAACATTGTTTGTATAGACCCACGATTTGGTATAGCCCCCATATAACGGTACCTCTCGATATCCCGTATTTTGATGATTTTTGCCATGAATTTGTCTATAAATCGGTATTTGTGGGTCATAATGGGTTCTAGCTCCGGTGGCGAAACATTGCATGCAAAGGTTCACGTTTTTGTATAGCCCCATATAACGGTACCTCTCGATATTCGGTATTTTGATGATTTTTGTCACATTTTCCCACTAATTTGTCTAAAAATTAGAATTTATTGGCCGTGATGGGTTCTAGCTGCGGTGGCAAAACATTGTATGTAAAGGCCCACGTTTTGGTATAAACCCCCATCGGTTCCTCCAGATATTCGGTATTTTGATGATTTTTGCCACATTTTTTCACGGATTTGTCAGAAAATTGGTATTTGTAGGTGACAATGGGTCCTAGTTCGTGTGGTGAAATATTGTATATATGGGCTCACCCTTTGATATGGTACCTCTCGATTTTGGCATTTTGATACTTTTTCCCACATTTACCCACGAATATGTCTAAAAATTGGTATTTGTGGGTCATAATGGGTTCTAATGTTTCCTTCACCCTAAGGTGGAGGATATTAAAAATGTTTTTTCACTAGCTTTGATGATTTTAGCGGCATTATTCACTGGAATTATTTAAAGTTTCGTATTTGGGTATTACAGCCTGTGACAGAAAACTGTCTATGAAGGTCCAGGCCTTTGTATAGCTCCCATATAAAGGTACCTCGCTATATTCGGTATTTTGATGATTGTAGCAACAATTTTCAATGAAATTGTCTGAAAATCCACGCAGAGAGTTCCTTCTGCGTACTTTACCTCTATATATGACCACCATATCATATAGCCCCCATATAAAGGTACCCCCGATATTCGGTATTTTCATGATTTTAGCGACATTATTCGCCGAAATTGTTTCAAATTTCGTATTTAAAATTCGTAATGGGTACTGCAGACTATGACAAAAAATTGCAGGTATGCAGGTCCAGATCTTCGTATAGCCCCATTATAACGGTACCTCCCTATATTCTGTATTTTTGTAACATTATTTCATGTTTGAATATTGAATTTTTGAATGGCCTATGACAAAAATTGTCTATGCTTCATATAGACCCCAATATAACGGCAACTTTTTTAACGAATTTTTTTCATTTAATTTTTTTTGAAAATTTCCAAAAGCGTTCCAAATGGTGCAGGGTATTCAAAGTTCGGCCGAACTTACTGTATTTTATTTTTTATTTATTGTGAAGCTCTCCTGTTGTACCCTTTAGAAGTTATGAGTGTTTTTGACGAACAGGGACACCAATAAAAAACAATTTTATCTAACATTTGTTATTGTACCATGCCGCTTGCCATCTAAAACACCTCAATTCAAAATATTTTTTTTTTTGTAATTTTATCAGATTTCAACTTTATTCTGAACCTGTTTTATTTTCATTTTTTTAACAATAATATATTTATAAACTAAGTCGCCATTTAAATAATATTAAAACTAAAAAATCGCATGCAATTTATTTTAAATTATTGGAACTGGTTGATGTGGCGGCATTTATTGTAAAATTCCTATTGTGAAATGAAGAATATTGGGGATTATTACCACGAGCAGAGCTCGCTGCTGCCGGTGACGATGTCGCTTGATTTTGCCCTGGCTGCGACAAAATATTCAATACCAAGTCACTCATACGTGCACGCATCTGTAAGTTTTGTAAATCATTCATTTTCTTCATATGCGGCAGGAAACTGACCAGAAAATTATAATCTGGATCACCGCTATGGTCAATGGCACGATGTATATCTTCTCGTGTCGACTGCATTAGTTTGTGTTCTTCACGTTCTAGATTTTCGAGAAAATGAACATTTTTTTCGCTACGCGATGAATTTGAAAATTCTTTTGTGTTGTTGTCGTTATTGTTGGGAGTTGGAGTTGCCGTACTCGTTTCTTTTGGCAGTATTGCCACTTTTATTGCTGGTGGCAGTGGTAATGGTAAACGGGCGGATGATGATGTTGTCGCTTCATTGGATTGGGTTACTGGAGGTGTTGTAGTGGATGATGTTCTCTGGGCCTCGTTGCTGGTCTTCGGTCCATTGATTACGGATATTTTAGCTGGTATATGTTTGAATTGTTGCTCTGGCAACAATGTATCGATATCTTGAAATTCCAAATCTGTCATATCGGCATCATCATCATCAAATTCCTCGATGAAGAATACTTCTTGATCACCACCATCCATAAACGACGTTGGCTCCACTTTAATGTCGAAAACATTCGCTTCATGATTGCAATCATCTGTTGAATTGGTATTTTGATCCTGTTCAATTTCAAAGCGAGTTCGCCGTTTACGCTTCTTGTCTCTTATAAAGCTTAGATCATGGAAATGAGTCCATTTACTCTCATAGCTGATTTGAGGATCATAAATACCCAAGGCTTCGTCACGTGCCCGACGAAGGTCGCAGCGTTTTACCAAAGCACGGTAGGAATCGCGTAAATTTTTCCATTTACGTCGACACTGTTCGACTATAGCGCCAAGCAATAACACCAGCAGCATCGTTTCATAAGACAGTCAGTCATATACACACATACCGTGGGCACCAAACCAGTTGCAGCAAACGATACAAAAAGGCGAACAGAGCAAAAAGAGAGATGAGAGAATAAAACGTTACTCAATAACTACACACACACACGCATATGTACATTTGTTGTTGTCACATTTAATGTCGATAAGCAACGAAGCAACAGCTCAGGTAACGAAAATATCTTAGCTAGCTTTCTTCTTGTTTTTTGTTTTCTTTTACTTACCATCCTCAACGCCAAGAACAGCTGCCAGTTCTTTCCACTGCCTGCCAACTTCGGTGTACGACTTGTTGTGCTCATGATTCAAGTCCCATAAAGCTGGTCTTTTGCGCACTTCGTCGATTAAACGCTTGGCATCTATTTCGTTCGACATTTTCCCTTCAACTAACGTGGCATCGTTAGTGGTGTTCGTCGATTAGCCAGTGAGCGCAACACTGAGCACAGCGAATTCAATGTGGAATTCAAGGAGAGAATAGAGTCCACTCATGCAATCTCTCTTTGAATGTTAATAACAAGGGGTTCTCAACGTAGTTTGATTATTATTTTTATACTCTCCTGCATGGAAATGAGGGTATATTAAATTTTGTCATTTCGTTTGTAACACCTCCAAATATTCGTAGGAGATACCATACAGTATATAAAGGGTGATTTTTTAAATGAATATGGAAGCTCATTAAATTCTGAAAAATCCATGAGATCTTTATTGGAATTAATAGTAGGGTCCGTATAATTTAAGAATTAAAGATTATTTCATGTAATTGTCGACCACGACTGTGTCTAAAATAGTCCATCTGCTTAGTCTAGTTTTGGAAAATTCTTGCCAAAACCTTTTGAAAATTTGCAGAAAAAATAGAGAGGGCAAGATCCCCTCCTTCCATATTTTTGGAAATTTTGAATTAAGATTCCTCAGCATTCAAGCATTTTAGGTATATAGTGTATTCGATAATATTGCAGACAAAAATACAAGGAACATTTGTAAAGAAAATTTTAACCCTCAAGCGAGTCAAGGGCCCTTTTCAAATATATGGTTAAAAACAACGAAGTTAAAATATTCTACAAAATTTTTTGTCATAAAATTTTATTATAGGCCCAAGAAGACGCCAAGAGGGTAAATATTGCCTTAACCACCAGGAATGCATATACAGGGTGAGATGAAAAAGCTGCAACCAACTTCAGACTGCTGTCATTTCTAAGCCACTCGTCCGACAGCTGTTAAAATTACTCCAGTTCAAAAGCATTTTGGTAAGAAATTTTAAGAAAAAAATGTATTCGTGATGGAATTCAAGCGTGATTGTGTGATTTCTTTATGTTTGGCTGGAAAACCACACGTGGTACTGGTAGCGTAGCCCGACTTCAAGGAAGTGGACGGAAGAAATCAGCAACATCAGCAGAAATGGTTCGAAAAGTAACGAAGCGTCTTGATTGAAAGCCGCGTCTCAGCGGCCGATAAATGGCTCGTGAGCTAAACATATCGCTATATTCCGCAATATTCGGCAAATATTGCAAAATGAGCTCGGGGTAACGCAATTGAAATTCCAAAAAGTGGAAGAACTTACACCGCAACAGAAATAAAATAGACTCAAACGAGCTAAAGGGTTGCTTCGCTTGCCCGAAAGTGGTGAACTGCCGAATTTGGTTTTCTCCGATGAGAAAATATTCGTTTGTAAACAAACAAAATGATCGGGGATCTTGTTTACTTGCCAAAGAGTTCAGCTGAAAATGTGCAACTTCGGTTCGCCAACAGAACTCAAGCCCCGGCCATGGTGATGGAGTGAGCCGCCAAAAAAGCCGCTGATCGTGTTATCGCGAAAATATTCTGGAGGGTGTATTAAAGCCTTAGGCATGCAAACATTTTGGCCGTAGACCTTGGACAGTACTCAGCACCATCGCACTCAGCACGCGCCACCCAAGAATGGTTACAAAATGAGGTTCCTCGCTTCATTTCCAGCGGACAAAAATATCCGCATACCAATCCGTTGGACTATTGTGTCTGGAGTATTTTGGAAGGTAAGGTTGGCACTAAAAAATACAAAAGTGTCGATCACCTCAAGCAAGCGCTTCGCCGGGAATGGTACAAAATACCGCAGAGCAACATTCGGGCATCGTGTGATGGTTTCATTTGCTGTTTGAAGGCCATAATTCGTGCCAAAGGTGACCAATTCGAACAAATCTAAACTTATTCTAAAATTTGATGCTATTTCCGACATTTTTTGCTTCCATTCAATAAAATTAAAAAAAGTAAAATAAAATTTATGGCGTTTGACTTTGTTGCATTTTTTTATCTCACCCTGTATATTAAAAACTCATTTAAGGGTTAAATACGTACTTAGTTAGTTTGTGCAAAAACCTGCAACAAAGCGTCCTTTTAGGGCGGTGACGTCGAAGACATAAATATTCTTGATCAAATTTCACTTAAAGTCACCAAAGAAACGAAATTTCTATTTTGATTTCGATCTCTACCATATTTATAACCTATCTTGTGTTGATGGAAATATGGGGATGTACGTAGTCTGAAGGGAATCCGTTGTTAATATGGGGATGTACGTAGTCTGAAGGGAATCCGTTGTTAATTACGTTATAGGCTTTATTGATATTCAAAATTTTGAGAAAGTGTGAGTCGATCTTGTGTTATAGAAATAATGACAGCAGATCTTGTGTTATAGAAATAATGGCATGTGTGAAATATGAAGGGCACCGGGTTCATATTTCGGATTTCATAATCGTTTTGGTTTTTCAAAAATTTGACCCTTTATGGGGGAGGTACCAGAAGGAATGGTCCAATTTGAAGACAATCGGACCCGTACATCACATTTTATAAGAGTTATAATTATTCAATTAATTTTTACCCATAGTGGAGGATGTACTTGGTGGAGTTTACGGACCTAGCACTGATGCAAATATTAGGTTTTGTAAAGTTGGGACAAAATCGGACTATCCTTCCTCTTTCTGCGCATTAAAATATTTTTTTTATTTTTTTGAAAACCTCTACCTTTTGTGGGGATGTACCAGAAGGAGTGCGCCGATATTGTCCATCTCCGAACTCGATCTAAGTTTAGTAGTAATATTACGATGTACCAAGTTTGGACCAAATTGGATACTACCTTCGACAGTTATCGTATCGGCCGGACATTCGTAGATGGACACCAAATGCTCTACAGCGGGTCTAAAACCCTCAGCCATTTGGCTGGGGGTATAAAAAAATAATTCGAATTATGTTAATTCATTATATTATTTATTTATTACTATTATACTTATTTGGTTACAACAACAACATATTACTATTATATTTATTTATTTTATATTTTATTTATATCTGATTATTATTCCCTTTAACATTACTTGTCTACTGATTTGTTACCGGCTCTTGTTTTACTGAAGCACTATTGCCCTTCTCATACTCCGCAATAACGAAACCTGAAACGGGGGCTGATAACGCTGACGCGTTGCTTGTAGCTGCTAAGGAATTGCTTGGCACCGCATTGGGCGCCAATGTACTCATAACCAAATCGCATATGCGTCTACGAAATCGTAAATTTTCAACAACATCCATTTTCTTCATGTGTTTCAAGAAACTGACTAGGAAATGATAATCTGGATCACCGTTATGCTTGTTGGCACGATGTATAGCTTCTAGAGAGGATTTCATTAGATGGTGTTTTTCCTGTTCGGGAGTTTCGATAAAATGTACATGTCGCTCACTTCGTGAGGAATATGGACAATCTTTTGTATTATCATTGGGAGTTGGGGTTGCCGTACTATTTTCATTTTCTTGTGTTGCCACTTTTATTGCCGGTGCCATGGGGAATGTTAATGGGGTTGTTGGTGAGGTCGCCTCTTCAATGGTCTGTGATACATGAGGGCTTGTTCTTAATTTTGTTTTCTGGATCACATTTGGGGATTCGGTTTCTTCAAGCGCTGCATTGATTACGGAGATTGGCGATGACAGTTGAGACGTTGTTAATGTGTTCTGGACCTCATTTGTGGTATTTGCTCCCTCATTGACGCCTGAGATTTTAGCCGGGTATTGCTCTGCCAACAATGTATTACTTCTAGAATTATCAGAGAGCGTATTTGAATTCCCAATAGCTTGAAATTCCAAATCTGTCATATCTGTATCATCATCATCGCCAAACTCTTCTATAAAGAACGTCTCTTGATCGCTGACACGCGTCGGTTCCACTTTAATTTCCGAAACGGGCGCTTCATTGCAATCATCTGTTGAATTGGTGTTTTGATCTTGTTCCATTTCAGAGCGCGTCCGTCGCTTACGCTTTTTGTCTTTTATAAAGCTTAAATCGTCATAATAGGCCCATTTAATCTCATAACTGCTTTGAGGATTCTGAATACCCAATGCTCTGTCGCGTGCTTTACGCCTCTCAAAACGTTTCACCAAGGTGCGATAAGTATCGCGTAAAATTTTCCATTTGTGTCGACATTGTTCGACTGTAGCGTAACCACAATTAGCAACAACGTCACAACATACAGAGGGCCAACGAACGAACACACAACCAGTTGTAGTCAGTAACAAAACAAACGATACAAAAAAAAAGGAATAGAAAAAATGAGAGAGAGAGAATAAAACGCTACTCAATAATAACGCACACACACACTCACACACATGTACATTTGTTGTTGTCGCATTTAATGTTGATAAACAACAAACCTATGACTACTGAGCTAACGAAAATATCTTAGCAGGCCAGCTAGCTGTTGTTTTCATTTACTTACCATCCTCAACGCCCAATACAGCTGCGACCTCTTTCCATAGCTTGATAACTTCGAGAGGCCATTTGTTAAACTCATGATCCAGGTCCCATAAAGCTGGTCTTTTGCGCACTTCTTCGATTAAACGTCTGCTATCTATTTCGTTCGGCATTTCCACTGTAACTAACGTGGCATCGTTAGTGGTGTTCGTCGCTTGCCCACTGAGAACAAACAGTGAGCACAGCGAATTCAATGTGGAATTCAAAGAGAGAATAGAGTCCACTCGCACTCACTTTGTGTTTTATTAAAACTTTTAATGACAATGGGTTCTCGGTATGTGTTTCGTGATTAGCGAATGACGAAACAGGTTGAAAAAATATACGAACTTAGCTACTGTGTGTTGTTGAACATAATTTATTTTCTTTGAATACGAAGTTTACAAACGATATAACCTACCGACAAAAAATGGTATACCAACCTATTATTTAAGCGAAAGTAATTGTACTTTCCACATGTATGAATGTGGATGCGGGCATACAGTTATTATCAATAAAATATTGTTAATTAGAGCCATGGTACAACAAGGAGGTAATGCTGGTTCGTAAAACTATTAAATTGCAGTCCTGAGGCTTCACCAGCTTCCTGTCGAAATTATTAAAAAATTGGATGCAACAAGTTAAATAGTATCAGTCGATCGGAAACAGATGTATACCCCCAGCCTTGAGTTATTATTATTCTAACTTTTGACCCTTTATGGCGGAGGTTCCGAAGCAGTTGGTCAATATATTGCCCAATTCGTATTTGACCTAAGTCTGATATAAATACGTGTCATATTTGGTTTTTATATCGTCTACTTCCTTTACTTTATATGAGATAATTGCAATTTTTTGGAAAATGTTCGACATCGGTGTGAGGTACCAAATATAGCGGTCTGATAAAAATTATGATAAGTGCAAAATTTAAAGGGAATCGAACATTTATATCCAATTTTATAAGAAAATTCCGATTAATTACATAGATAGAATCCGACTAATTACATAGATAGATAGAATCGCCGACTTGTTTCGAAATTATGACAGATATAAGTATTGGAAATTGTGAGCCTTTACGGTTGAGGTACCAGAACGTCATCTTCAAAACTGACTTTTCGTTAGCAAAAATGTTGGGATGTGTGAAATTCGAAGAGAACCGGATACTTATTTCGTATTTTATGATCGTTTTTGTTAGTCAAAGTTTTGAATTTTGTGGGGGAGGTACCAGAAGGAATATTGCCATTTTCATAGCAGATCTTCTGCTAGTAAAAATAATGGGATGTGTGAAATATGAAGAGAGCCGGATGCTTATTTCAGATTTAATATTTTTTTTTTCAGATGTGCCAAGTCTGAATGGAATCTAATGTTAATTTCGTGTCTTATGAGCTTCATGGATTTTAAAAATGTTGACCCTTTGTTGGGGAGGTACTTAATGGAGTGAACCGATATTGTCCATTTTCTTACCTGACCTAGAACTGATGCAAGGATTTGCAAAGTTGGAGCAAAACCTGATTTTCTTTTCTATCTCTCTCTCTCTCCCTGCACTAAAATATATTCTTTGAAAATCTCGACCTCTTGTGGGACAAGTACCAGAAGATTTGGACCGATATTGCCCATCTCCGAACTCGATCTAACTTTGAGAAGTACCAAGATTGGATTAAATCGGAAACACCCTTCGAGAATTATTGTGCGCACCAACCAACCAGCCAGACAGACGGACGGACATTGTGATAAAAAAAACTGCATCAAAGTCAAACGCCATAATTTTTACATTTTTTTTATTTAATTGAATAAATGCAAAAAATGCCGGAAATAGCATCATATTTTCGAATAAGTTTAGATTTGTTCGAATTGGTCACTTTTAGCAGGAATTGGCCTTTAAACGGTTGCTTGAGGTGTGTAGATTTGGTATTTTTAGTGCCTACCTTGCTTTCCAAAATACTCCAGACACAATAGTATTGGTAGGATTGGTATCCCGAGATTTTGGTGGCCTGCGCTGGAAATGAAGCGAGAAACCTCATTTTGTAACCATTCTTGGTGGTGCGTGCTGAGTGCGATGGTGCTGAGTTCTGTTGGAATGTCCAAGGTCTGCGCCCAAAATGTTTGCTTGGCTTTAGCTTTAATACACCCTCCAGAATATTTTCGGGATAATATTCGGCATTTATTCTGATGCCACGGTCGATTAATAAGAGCGGAGAACGACCATCGGTTGTTTTGGTGTCCCACACCATCACCATGGCCGGCGCTTGAGTTCGGGTGGCCAACCGAAGGTGACCATTTTCAGCTGACCTATTTGGCAAGCAAACACGATCAGTTTGTTTGTTTACAAACTGCTGAACAACGAATGTTTTCTCATCGGAGACAGAGAAAACCAAATTCGACAGTTCACCACTTTCGGCTAAGCGAAGCAACTCTTTAGCTCTTTTGAGTCTATTTTCTATATGTTGCGGTGTAAGTTCTTGTACTTTTTGTAATTTAAATCGCTTTTTCCCGAGTTCATTTTTCAATATTTGCCGAATGGAATATTGCGATATGTTCAGCTCACGAACCATTTTTCGGCCAATGTGACGTGGGTTTCAACAAAGTCGCTTCTTTACTTTTCGAAACATTTCTGCTAATGTTGTTGTTTTCTTCCATCCACTTCCTTGACGTCGGGCTACGCTACCAGTGTCACGGTAATAAACGATGGTAGGAGACACAAAAGATTTATTCACATTTAAATGCTGGAGCGCTCTAACGGTAGTCACTTGTGGTTTTCCAGTCAAAAATAAAGAAATCACACTATCACGATTAAATTCCATCACGAATAACTTTTTTTCTGGAAAATTCTCACCAAAATGCTTTTGTACGCTTGTAGACAATATAATGAGCTGTCACTGAAATAATTTTAACATCTGTCGGACGAGTGGCTTAGAAAAGACCGAATTCTGAAGTTCGTTGCAGTTTTTTCATCTCACCCTGTATATATACTTTGTTATGTCTAAAATTATTATTTCGATGAGTTACAAACGGAATGGTGGAGGGTATAAAAATCGTGTATATTATACCTTCCATCATTCTAAGGAGGGTATGTTAGCTTTGTCATTTCGTTTGCATCTCCTTGAAATACTCATGATAAAATCAACAAAGTTTGTAATGGGTACTACAGCTTTTAACAAAAAATGTCGTATGCACGACCACGTCTTCGTATAGCCCCCATATAACGGCACCTCTTGATATTGGGTACCTCTATATATTCATGAGTTTGGGAACATTTTTCATAGGAATTGTTACAAATTTTGTATTTGAATGTCGTAATGAGTACTACAGCCTATGACAAAAAATTATTGATGAAGGTCCACGTCTTCGTATAGCTCCCATTTAACGGTTTTCATATAAGCGGTATTTTTCAGAATTTTGGCAAATTCTTTTAAAATTGTGGAGGGTATTAAACTGTTGCTTTTTTACTCGTTTTTGAATTGCTTGTGTTTTTTATTTGAAAAGCTTTCATATATCGCTTAAATATAATGTAACAGAATAACTTATAAATAATTAATTCGATCGCTAAATAATGATAATCCTTAAAACTATTTTTGGAACCATTCGGTGCGCATAGAATGACATCACACTTGGAATACCCATATCTTGTTTGACCCTTATAGTCCTTATATTTACGTCTGCCTTTATCAGTCATATTTTCCTGCCAATGCTGGCTTCCATCATATCGCATAGAATTTATGGGAGCTACTTTTCGATTTTTACCGGATGTTGAAGAACTTACTGAAATACCATATCACTTTATGAGAGCATGCTCGCTGATTGGTTGGGGCAAAGAGGCCATTTGCCCTGTCGTTGCCAAAGCTCAAGATGTTTATACATTTTCTTATATTCCAGTGTTCGTTGTCCATTTTGTACTCTGACCATAAGTCCTCCCAGTTGATCTAATGGAAATTCTGTACAAAGGCAGAAAGAGATCCATTTTGTCTACGCCACCCATATTTTTTTTCGGCTACGTTAGCTCTGTTATTTCGATATTTTCTTCTTCGACGAAAAATCGGTGCAATTAATTTTGGGTTTCGGAACCATGAATTGAGGAAACAGGTTGTTCAATTCCTCCATTAAGCCATCGGAGAAGAACCATATTGTTCGAGCGTTCTATGAAACTTCCAAGGACTTCTTTGCATTACTGGTATTCATATTGTAGATCAATTCTTCAGTTCTTTCATGTTGGCCATATCCTTTTTTCGTGAAGGGGCAGGCGTACGGACTACCCACTATGAATGGAATTCGGTTTCGTTTTGCAAAGTAGGCATTAAAATGTTCAATACCAGGCTACTCATGCGTGCGCGAAACTCAGCATTTTGTATTGGATTCATTTGCTTCAGTTGCGGTAGAAAACTGACGAGAAAATTAAAATTGGGATCATTGGCGTGAGTTTGAGCTGATATCGTAACATTTTGTGTCATTTTCAATAGACTGCGTAATTCCTGCTGAAGACCTTCGATTCGAGAGGGACAGTGACAATTTCCTTGGTTTTTATTAGCAACAGGGCTTGGTATTGTTTGTGTGGCAGCTTCAATGCTCGTTGAGGTGGGGGCGGTGGTGGTGATAGTGCCAACATCTTTGCTTTGTTTTGGTTCAAAACTTTTATTTGATTTTTTGTTATCATTACAGGAAACCTCAATATTTGCTGATGTTTGTTTTACATTTTGTTGCGGCTGAATCGAATTTATGTTAGTCTCCTCTGCCGACCAACCATATTCCTGCTCAAATTCCATATAGAGCCTATCGATTACATCTGCATCATCATCTTCAGAGTACCTTTGTTCATCGCCAATCTCAGGTGATTCGATTTTTATTTTTGAAATTTCTACCAAATCAGATACATTGTCATTTTGTGTGGATCCATTGCAAATGCTCTGAACCGCTTGGTCCACTTTTGGCCGCTTTTTACGACGTATTCTTTTATTTTCTCGTATAAAACTTAGATCCTTATAATAAATCCATTTGCTGTCTCTTTGTTGGTGATTTTCACAACGTCTAACTAAAGCCCGATAAGCGTCTCTTAAATTTGCCCATTTGCGTCGACATTGATGAACTGTGGACGTCACACGAATGTTGTGGAGAAGAGAACATTGCCAGTTATACGAAAAGACATACACACACATACAGTTGAGCACATGACCAAGGGAGAAAAGAGTAAATAAATAAAACGAATTTATAAATGATTTGTTGTTGTTTCACTCGGCTTGCTATGCCTACATTCGTACATATAAATGTGTTACGATTTCAAACACACGAGTAAATCGTGTGAATGGCTATTTGTTTTTGCTTACTTACCGTCAATGCCCACCACTGCTGCTACTTCTTTCCATTGTTGTTTAATTTCTTTATACGATTTTCTATGCCTTATCTCCCATAGAACCGGCCGGCTACGTACTTCGTGAATTAATCGTCTGATATCTGTATCGTTCCACATTTTTCGTTCAACTAAATGCGAATCGTTATTTTTTGTTCGTAATATACAGACAGCATTATAAGAAACGGAAAAACACGGCGAATTTGCGGCAAGCACATGGAGAGAATACCTTCCACTTTCGCATTGAAGAGCTCTCACCATTTTTGTGGATTAGATAAGGGTTGCCAATACCTAGGGAATTTATTCGTTTTACTTTTTGTTTATGGAATATAAATGCAAATATTTTGTTGGGGTATACAGGTAGAGTGATAAACCAATGCATTGTTTCGTGTCATAAAATGTGCGTTTATTTAATCCTCAATACCATGAAGTTCTTCGGAGCATACCTGTAAATCTTATTGGGTACACAATGGAAGAATAATAGAATATTATTGGATGAATGTAGGTATTTTTCGAATAGATCAATTTATTAACCAATTGGTTAGATTTGTGACATAACATCAGGATTACTATCGATACTATAATTTTATGCCCTCCATCATACCATTGGGGTATATTGAGTCAGTCCTTCCGTTTGTAACTCCTCGAAATATTCATCTTAGGCTCCAGAAATCAAATATATTCTTTATCAGCATAAAATTCCGTCTGTGGAAATTGCTCTAGCTTCCGAACGGGGTAAAGGGAGGTTAATTAAATATCAGTCAGATGTTTTTTTTACCAACATAGAATTCTTAGGTTTTCAAATGGGCTATATGCATCTCGGTTTTGATATAGACAAGCGATACAAGTTTTTTAGGGGTCTAGTCACAGACCTCAACCGAATTTTCTGTAAAACCTTTTATTGCTGCTTTTTGCCAAGCACATTTGTCAGCCAAATTTATGCTTCATATAAATTAGCAAAAAAAAAAAAAAAAAACGAGAAAGGAAAAAGTCAAAAGTCGGGCGGGGCCGACTATATGATACCCTACACCTTATGCATATTTAGTGGAGCTCCCGTAACAAAATAATTTATTTGAAGTAGATCATAACACCTATCAACGTTTGGCTTTAGAGCAGTTAAAATTAAAAAATGGAATTCTGAACCGATTTTCCCTACATCTGAGAGGAGACATTTTTATCTTTTATACGAAATAACATTGCTATAGAGTGTAGGATATCACTTCGACAAGTGTTATATTAAAACAAGTGAAAAAAGATGTAAGTTCGGCCGGGCCGATCTTTGAATACCCTCCACCATTTGGAATGAATTTGGCAATTTTCAAAAAAATAAAATCAGTTAAAAATGCTGTGAAAATCTTAAACTTACCGAATATAGCCGTTATAGTAGGGTCTATACGACGACGTGGACCTGCATAGGCAACTTTTCTGTTTTTCTTTCTTAGGCTGTGGTATGCATTACGAACTTCAAATACCAAATTTGAAACATTTCTGGTGAATAATGTCGCTAAAATCACTAAAATACCGAAAATAGCTAAGTACCAAACCGTGGACCTACATGACCCATTTTCAATACCAAAACTCCTGCAGACATAATATATATTTGAGTGAAATTTTATCAACCTACTTCATTTCGTTCGGAAGCTAGAGTTATTTCCATAGACGGACAGGTAGAAGGACATCGCAAAATCGACATCGAATTTTATGCTGATGAAGAATACAGGGTGAGATAAAACAAAGTTAAACGCCATAATTTTTATTTTTTTTAAATGAAAGCAAAAAATGTTGGAAATAGCATCAAATTTTGGAATAGAACCAGATTTGTTCGAATTGGTCACCTTTGGCACGAATTATGGCCTTCTGTTATATTGCTCTGCGCTATTTTGACCCATTCCCGGCGAAGCGCTTGCTTGAAGTTATCGACACTTTGGTATTTTTAGGGCCAACCTTGCTTTCCAAAATACTCCAGACACAATAGACCAACGGATTGGTATCCGGAGATTTTGGTGGGTATTGCGCGCTGGAAATGAAGCGAGGAACCTCATTTTGTAACCATTCTTGGGTGGTGCGTGCTTCAAGATCTGCGGCCAAAATGTTTGCGTGCCCAAGGCTCTAAAACACCCTCGAGAATATTTTCGCGATAATATTCGGCATTTATTCTGATGCCACAGTCGATTAATACGAGCGGAGAGCAATCATCGGCTGGCGGCCCAAACAATCACCTTGGCCGGCGCTTGAGTTCTGGTGGACAATCGAAGGTGCACATTTTCAGCTGACCTCTTTGGCAAGTAAACACGATCAGTTTGTTTGTTTACAAACTGGTAGACAACGACTGTTTTCTCATCGGCAGTTCACAAAACCAAATTCGGAGAAACAACTCTTTAGCTCTTTTGGATTTATTTTCTTTCTGTTGTGGTGTAAGTTCTTGCACTTGTTGGAATTTCAATGGCTTTACCCCGAGCTCATTTTTCAATATTTGCCGAATGGAATATAGCGACATGTTCAGCTCACAAGCCATTTTGCAGCCACTGCGACGGGGGTTTCGATCAAGTCGCTTCCTAACTTTTCGAACCATTTCTGCTGATGTTGCTGTTTTCTTCCTTCCACTTCCTTGACGAAGTGGAGCTACGCTGAGCTACGCTACCAGTATCACGGGAACGAGCGTTGGTACGAGACACAAAAGATTTATTTACATTTAAATACTGTAGTGCTCTAACGATATCCACTTGTGGTTTTCCAGCCAAATATAAAGAAATCCCACTATCACGCTTGAATTCCATCACGAATAACTATTTTTCTGGAAAATTCTCACCAAAATGCTTGTAAACAATATAATGAGCTATCACTGGCATAATTTTAACAGCTGTCGTACGAGTGGCTAGTGGCAGTCTGAAATTGGTTGCAGTTTTTTCATCTCACCCTGTACAGTTCGCTTATACCACCACCTATCTTAGACTAACTTTCCATATTTCATAATACCAAATGGTACTATTTTAGAAATTTAGTGCTATTTTATAGCTTTTCGAGCCTTAAAGTTCGAATTTCCAAAAAATCTTTTGGTACATCTATCCTGCACTCCATCGGTGACCCTCGTTCCTATTCGTTTGTCCAAGTATTCAATTTTTGGTATATTTTAATACTTTTCGTGCTCTTGTAGTACGAATTTCCAAAAACACGGCCTTTCCAAAAACACGATCTTATGCAAAATTTGAAAAATTCTAGCTTCAGCCGTTTCGTCTGGGAGTTGATTCTAGATAAGTACCGTTTGCGGTGGAGGTATCAAAAGAAGTAGACCGATTTTGTCCATCTCCCAACTCGACTTATGTTTCATAAAAATATTACGAGGTACCAAATTTGGACGAAATTTATTACTCCATTTGAGAGTTATCAAAAGGCCGGACAACCATAGATCAGCTCCAAATCTTCTGAAACGGATTTCGTCCACAGATACCTTGCTTTGAAACTTATTATTTCGATGATGCACGTTTTGGCTGTATCAAAAGATTTTTCCCCTTGCAGCCATATAGCTTTGGTAAAGACATCTAAAGAGTCAATCAAAGTTTTTGCGGTAACTCAACTTCTATGGTTACTCCCTCAACTCGTTCTCTTCAACTTGACTCTTAGGATGCCGGTAAGCATTTAGAAAAATTTTGTACAAATTGTTGAGTTATTCTTATATTTTATACATATTTTATGACATTCATTTACATAAATAAACACACGTCTGTCCAATATTTGTTATTTTTATTGCAAATATCTTCCAAGGAGAATGTTAAACGTGTTTTAAATGCTATCATTCTCCCAGCTCTGGCCATTGCACTTCTTCTTCTTATGCATACAACACACATTTTTGTGTGTAAACCACGTACAGAAGGCAATGGAGCAAAGAGCGCTGAGTGAACACAACAATCCTCTTCACCGAACAATACAAAGACAGACATGTCTCTCGCTGCTCTAAACATTTAATGAGGACGCGAGAGAGAGCATTTCGCCGGTGTGTTTATTTTCGCCTTGTTTTTCGTTTTGTATTTAGATCAGCGGTGCTCAAGAAAAAATATCTCTTTCCAGTTAAATTTCTCTTTGCTTATTTAAATCAAGAACAAAACAGTGTTAAGTCATTATTTATACAAATATTATTTATCCATTTGCTTTATAAATTATTTTGGCAAACATTCATGTTTAAAAACAGTTAAATGAATCGTAAAATATGAAGAAAAACGGAATTTTAATTTTCTCTTAAATTATCTCTTTTCTCGGCTCATGTTCTAGAACACGGTTTTGAGCACCGCTGATTTAGATTGGCGGGTATGTGTATATACGAGTGTGCAACTGGCCGTTGTGAGTTCAGTTTAACGAAAAATATCCAAGGAAATGGATGTACTGCGTTTAATTGAGGAAGTTCGTCAGCGACCAGCGCTGTGGGACACAACAATGGGGGAGAGAAAACGGCGTCCTTATATATACGGATTGTGGCAAGAAGTGGCCAAAGCTGTTGGTAGTGATGGTGAGTGTATACAACGATTAATATTTTATTTTTAAATATTGCTACTTGTAGATTGAAGTTAATTTAGTTATTTTGGGTTAATTTGTTGAAATGATTAAATTGTAAGGTAAAATATTTTATTAGGCAGTTGCTTTATTCGAAGAACTGTTGTATAGAATTTTCTGCATTTCTTCCATTATTGTTGTGTTTCCCCTACTTTTTTCTTTATATTTCTGTCTTAACATCATGCTTCTCTTTGTGGGGTGATTAATCGTCCTCACTCGCACTCACTCGTATTTATAATTACTTGAACTTTTTTACATGTATTTGTTGTTTGTATGTGAGTGTATGTTAATGGCGAATAGACGTGGTTGCCATTTTATTGGAATATTGTAGAGAATTAATGCACATGGAGAGAGAGAAAGGCTAGGTGTTTGCTTTATGTTCCGCATTATTTCCAAAAACATCATTAATTAATTAAATATTCAGAGTGGCCCAGAAAAATCGAAGTGGCGTGAATTCCTTATAACTTTTTATTTAAGACATATTTTTTTATTTTTTATACCCTCCAACATTCTATGGAGGGTACATTAGCTCTCTCATTTCGTTTGTAGCTTCTCGAAATATTCATAATAGACCCTACAAAGTATATATATTCTGGATAAGCGTAAATTTCTAAAACGATCTAGCTATGTCCGTCTGTCTGTTGTAATCAAGCTATCTTTCGAACGAATTGAGATAGAAGGCTAAAATGTTGTTTACATGCATATTTTACCAGTAGGGAGGTTAAGTTCGTAAATGGGCCATGTAGGTCCACGTCTTCGTATAGCCCCCATGTAACGGTACCCCCTGTATTCGGTATTTTGATGATTTAAGCTACATTATTCACCGGAATCGTTTCAACTTTCGTATTGGAATATCTTAATGGGTACTACAACTTATGGAAAAAAATGCGTATGCAGGCCCACGTCTTCGTATAGCCCTCATATAACGGTACCTCCCGATATTCGGTACTTTGTTGATTTTAGCGATATTATTCACCGGAATTCTTTCAAATTTGTTATTTGATGTTCATAGTGGATACTACAGTCTATGACAGAAAATTGTCTGTGCAGGTCCACGTTCGATCCCGATATTCGGTATTTTGATGATTTTAGCAACATTACTCACCAATTTTTTTTTAAGTTTCGCATTTGAATATTGTAGTGGCTTATGACAATGTTTACCTATGCAGGTCCATGTCATCGTAAAGACCCTTATATAACAGCTACATTCGGTATTTTTAAGATTTTAAAAGAATTGTTATCGGATTTTATTGTTTTTGAGAATTGCCAAATTAGTTCCAAATGGTGGAGGATATTAAAAGTTCGGCCCGGACGAACTTAACTTCTTATTTACTTGTTTGTTTTTAAAATACAAGAAATTTTTAGGGAATATTTATTTTTGATTAGTTATTATACCTGATATTCTGCTTCGCACAAATGTGACCTATTCAACACATTTTCTTTCGCAAAACTTCCGGTGTTACGTTGTTAATTTCGTATCGAATATTGGTTTTTGGGTCCCCAGGAATACTCTCCTGTATCACTTGCATACTGTCAAACGTATGGACAGTTCGTAGTCTGCCGGAACCAGGATGCTACCTTACTGCTCCCTGTTGTAGAAAATTGAAAGTTGCGACCAGACGGTTTATTGTTGAGTGAGAGGGTGCAATCCGCACTTTAAATTGACGACTGTATTAACAACTTTAATAAAAAAATTGGTCATCTTTTTATTTATTAATGTTCCAAAAACGAGCTCAGGAGAATAAAAGCAACGCCAAAATACTCTTTTAGGCATTAATGCTGTGGAGCATTTTGGATTGCCATTTAGCGAAACCTCCATGTATAGATGAGGACCTATAAATACGAGTGAGTAGGTTGCCAGCCATTTTCGTGCATTCAATAGCGAAAGCAATTTTTGATTGAATTGAATTTTAATAGCTCAATTTTAGCCTGATTTAATTGAAACTTTCTGTAAAAGCCAATAACTATCGATTGTTAAGCCCCAGTTAAACCCCAATTGTTCCTTTAGCCTTTGTATACCCTCCACCACATATAGTATGGCTAGTATGTAAAATTTGTCATTCCCTTTGTAACACCTCGAAATATAAATTTGAGACCCCACAAAATATATACAGTCGCGGCCAAAAGTCTACGTATGACATCGTTTTTATTGCTCGATGGCGAGTCTGATATATACAGGGTGAGATAAAAAAAACTGTAACGAAGTCAAACGCCATAATTATTACATTTTTTTTTAATTTTAGCATAAAATTTTAGAATAAGTTTCGATTTGTTCGAATTGGTCATCTTTGGCACGAACTATGGCCTTCAAACGGTCAATCAAACCGTCACACACTGCCCGAATGTTGCTCTGCGGTATTTTGGCCCTTTCCCGGCGAAGCCCTTGCTTGAAGTGATCGACATTTGGTATTTTTTAGTGCCAACCTTGCTTTCCAAAATACTCCAGACACAATACTCCCACGGATTGGTACCCGGAGATTTTGATGGCTATTGTGCGCTAGAAGTGAAGCGAGGAACCTCATTTTGTAACCATTTTGGGTGTGCGTGCTGAGTGCGATGATGCTGAGTGCTGTTGGAATATCCAAGGTCTGCTCCCAAAATGTTTGCGTGCCCATGGCTTTAAAACACTCTCCAGAATATTTTCGCGATAATATTCAGCATTTATTCTGATGCCACGGTCGATTAATACGAGCCGGGAGCAACCATCGGCTGTTATAGCGGCCCACACCATCACCATGGCCGGCGCTTTGTTCTAGAGTTCTGGTGGCCAACCAAAGGATCGGAGACGGAGAAAATCAAATTCGGCTGTTCACCACTTTCGGCCAAGCGAAGCAACTCTTTAGCTTTTTTTAGTCTATTTTCTTTCTGTTGCGGTGTAAGTTCTTGAACTTTTTGGAATTTCAATGGCTTTACTCCGAGCTCATTTTTCAATATTTACCGAATGAAACATTGCGATATGTTCATCTAACAAGCCATTTTTTGGGCCACAGCGACGCGGGTTTCGATCAATTCGCTTCTTTACTTTTCGAACCATTTCTGCTGATGTTGCTGTTTCCTTCCGTCCACTTCCTTTACGTTGGGCTACGCTACCAGTATCACGGTAACGAGCATTTAAATTCTGGAGTGCTCCAACGATAGTCACTTGTGGTTATCCAGCCAAATATCAAGAAATCACACTATCACGCTTGAATTTTATTACGAATAACTTTTTTTCTGGAAAATTCTCACCAAAATGTTTTGTACGCTTGTAAACAATATAATGAGCTGTCACTGGAATAATTTTAAGAGCCGTCGTACGAGTGGCTTCGAAATGACAGCAGTCTGAAAGTGGTTGCAGTTTTTCATCTCACCCTGTATAGACTTTTGACAGCGACTGTATATTCTTGATAAACTTTAAATTCTGAAAAATGTCTGTCGGTCTATAAAAATCACTTTAGCTTCTGAGCGAAATGAAGTAGATTGATCAAATTTTACTCAAACTTATTTTATGTCTGCAGGACTTTTGGTATTGAAAATGAGGTTCAAGATTTGGTATAACCCCCATATAACTGTACCGACAGATTGAAGTTTTGTTTTAGTCCCATCCCCGAATTTCCTGTAAATTGATAGTTCGTTTTCCCAGCATGTAGGAAATATACTTGCAGAGAACTGACCACATAGGTCCTAGTTTGGGTATAGTCCCCATAAATTTGTTCCTTCACGTATTCGATATTTTTCAACAGACTCTTCTTTACACTGTGCAAGTTCCTTCCATGTTCCGTTCATTCAAAATGGTTTCAGATATGAAGAAACGTTACCGCAAATTATAACATTGTAGGGTAGGTATAACATGGTCTCACAGCCAGATTGTATCCTTTGCTAACTTCTTCAAAATTATCTTTAATATTCGATTTGCATTATTTAAACTAATTCCAACTTAGAAATGGAGTTACCCATATGTTTTCCTTTTCTCTCCTTGCATACTTGTTTGCAGGGCTTACAGTCACTCATTGCCTACACTTTAACACATTTTTTTGTGCTCATTTCGTTTCATGTTCGGGACGCCAATGCCTGCTCTCTTGATTTTGTTATACTCAATCTTGCTTTAATTCGCCTTAATTTGGTGTTGCTTCTGCTGCTTGATATACAAAACGTGTAGCCGAAAAATGCAAACAGAAATGGAAGAATTTTCGTGATACCTATCACTCTGAGGTTAGACGTGTCGAACGACAAATAATGAGACACAAACTAATGAGCAAGTATGATCCGAACCACGACTACCGAAGTAAATGGGCCTACATGGAGGCGATGAGTTTTATAACTAAATGCAGGCGACCGTATAAGTCATCGGGTGGTGAAAACGAGTGCACAAGTTCCAATGACGAGAACCCGGTGAGCAATTCCACAACTGGCATACGTCGGTCACAGCGAAGAGTTGGAGAGAGTAACGACAATGCAACTTCGTCAGCCATTGGCGGTATGGATGATGGCGAAGATGATGATGACGATGACGACGCCGATATGCTGTTTGAGGAATTTCAAAGTATTGCCACACCACAGGCAGCTAGGCGTCTGTCAGCTACGTTGTCGCTAACGAACTCACTTGAGCAGACACTCTCGAATAGTTCGGTAGAAGCACCAGACACCAAGTTATTGATGGAACCCAGCACATCTACAGCCGCGGATGGCCAAAGAAAAGACTGTTGCAAAACGGCAACCCAAGCTCACAGTGAGGATCGTGTACATTTTCTGGAAGATCTCGAAAAACAAGAACAGCAACTTATTAAATCCACCAAACATGACATCAGTCGAGCTCTCAGTCACATTGGCGACTCGGATTATAATTTTCTGGTTAGTTTTTTGCCACACATGAAGAAAATGACAGATTTACAAAATCTACAATTTCGTGGACGAATGTGTGATTTGGTCTTGACATCATTGGCGCCCAATGCAGCTCAACATAATTCGGCAGCATCACTACCATTGCAACCAGAATTGGCGCCCAATGCAACTCAAGATTACTCTTCAGCACCAGCATCACTACCATTGCAACCAACAGCCAGCATTATTAAAGTGGAGTGTATTAATAATAAAATCCAAGCTTCAGAACATCCAGAATCGCCAACCAGTCAAGATGCAAATGCAGCCAATGGTAATGAAATTGACAACGAACTGGAGTTCTTTTGAAATCAATTGATGACTGAACGTATGTTTTTAATACTAAACTAAAGTGAATTTATGAATTTTATATTAACCTTATAAGTAAATATTTTGTGATTTGATTTGAAATGTTAGTATTGTAACTCAAGGTCAAAGAATAGGTCACACAATAGGTTCATCTGACTATTAATGTTGCTGTCAATATACGTTTTTGTGATTAGATTTCAAAGTGAAAATTTAGTTGGAAGTTGGTCGAAATAATTTATTTACAGCGGCTGAAAAGTTTTGATACTGAAATGGGGAATAATTTCATTAATATGCCTACTGTGTGACCTACTCATAGACCTTGATTGTAGCTTTAAGACCGAAAGGCCACATTTGATATATATACAAAAAAAATTGCAATAAAAAATCTGATTCGATCTCTTTCCTTAAAAAACTGAACATTTGAACAAAATATGGCAGAGTTATCATGAATGACTTGCGTTGCCCTCCCAACTTGGTAAGTTACAAGTAAAATAGTATCAGTCGGTTTTACCGACATATGTATATCCCCAACTTTGAGTTATGATTATTCAAACTGTTGACACCTTGAAGGGGAGGTTCCGCAGTAGTTGTCCAATATTGACCAATTCGTATCTGACCTAAGACTGATATAAATATTTCAAGGTGTCAGATTTGCGCTATATCGACTACATCCTATACTCAATATGAGATATGTGCAAATTTTTTGAAAAAAATGCGAAAATATTCGAGAGGTAACAGATATTTTATTCAATTTTTTTACTTCATCTAATACAGATAAAAATTTTGGTATATGCCATATTGAAGGAAATCGAATATTTATATCCAAGTTATGACATATATAAGTAATGGAAATTGTGATCCTTTGTGGTGAGATACCAGAAGCGGTTGCCAGATGTACAGGGTGAAATGAAAAAATCGCAACCAAGTTCAGAATGCTCTCATTTCTAAGCCACTCGTCCGACAGCTGTTGAAATTATTTCAGTGACAGCTCATTTTATTGTTTACAAGCGTACACAAGCATGTTGGTGAGAATTTTCCAGAAAAAAAAGTTATTCGTGATGGAATTCAAGCGTAATAGCGGGATTTCATTATATATAGCTGAAAAATCACAAGTGGCTATCATTAGAGCACTCCAGTATTTAAATGTGAATAAATCTTTTGTGTCTCGTACCATCGCTCGTTACCGTGATACTGGTAGCGTAACCCGACGTCAAGGAAATGGACGGAAGAAAACAGCAACATCAGCAGAATTGGTTCGAAAAGTTAAGAAGCGACTTGATCGAAACCCGCCTTGCAGTGGCCGAAAAATGGTTCATGAGCTGAACATATCGCAATATTCCATTCGGAATAATATTAAGAAATGAGCTCGGGGTAAAGCCATTGAAATTCGAAAAAGTGCAAGAACTTACACCGCAACAGAAAGAAAATAGACTCAAAAGAGCTAAAGTGTTGCTTCGATTGGTGAACTGCCGAATTTGGGTTTCTCCGATGAGGAAACATTCGTTGTCCAGCAGTTTGTAAACGAACAAAATGATCGTGTTTACTTGCCAAACAGGTCAGCTGAAAATGTGCACCTTCGGTTGGCCACCAGAACTCAAGCGTCGGCCATGGTATGGGCCGCCATAACAGCCGATGGTCCGATGATCGCTCTCCATTCGTATTAATCGACCGTGGCATTAGAATAAATGCCGAATATTATCGCGAAAATATTTTGGAGGGTGTATTAAAGCCTTGGGCACGCAAACATTTTGGCCGCAGACCTTGAACATTCCAATAGGACTCAACATGCGCCACCCAATAACGGTTACATAATGAGGTTCCTAGCTTCAGCGCACAATGGCCACCAATATCTCGGGATACCAATCCGTTGGACTATTGTGTCTGGTGTATTTTCGAAAGCAAGGTTGGCACTAAAAAAAATACCTCAAGCAAGCGCTTCGCCGTAAAAAAATTAAAAAAAAATGAACAAATTATGTTGTTGTACTTTGTTGCAGTTTTTTTATCTCACCCTGTATATCATCTTCGTTGTTGTCTTTACATCACTAACAGAACCGGGTTCGGCTATCATTATTCATAAATCTCTTTACAGTTGACTCTTATGGAGCATTATTGTGATCAGAAATTATTTGGAATTTGCGAACTTTTTGAACATTTTGGTAAAATTATTATACAATGAGAATCCGTTGCTTTTTCGCAAAGCGCTGCATTTGTTATACCTTCCACCTTAGTATGGAGGGTATATTGTGTTTGTCATTCCGTTTGTAACGCATCGAAATATAGTAAACATAGCCCTCATATAACTGTACCTCCCTATACTCGATAATTTGATGATTTTAGCGACATTATTCACCGGAATTGTTTCAAAGTTCGTATTTGAAGTTCCTAATGGGTACTACAGTCTATGAAAAAGAATTGTCTATGAAGGTCCCGGTCTTCGTCGTATAGTCCCCATATAACGGGACATTCCCATATACGGTATTATTAACCGGAATTATTTCAAATTTCGTAATAATAGTTCGTAATGGTTTCTTCCGTCTATGACAGAAAATTGTCTATGTAGGTCCAGGTCTCCCAATAGCCCACATATGTGGGTACCTTCCTATATTCGGTATTTGGCTAATTTCAGCAACAGTTTTCACAAGAATTGTTTTAAATTTTTTATTAGAAGTTCTTATAAAAAATAAAAAATCTTGTAAAAAATTGTCAATGCATGTCCAGAACTTTATATAGCCCCTAAATATCGGCACCTACCTATATCCGATATTTTGATGTTTTTGCGACATTTTTTACCGGAATTGTAATGGCCTACGACAAAAAATACTTATGCTGGCCCACGTCTTCGAATAGACCAACATATAACGAAAACTTCATATACAGGGTGGAATGAAAAAAAACTGCAACAAAGTCAAACGGCATAACTTTTACATTTTTATACCCTCCACCATAGTATGGAGGGTATATTAAGTTTGTCATTCCGTTTGTAACACCTCGAAATATACATTTTAGACCCCACAATGTATATATATTCTTGATCAGCATAAAATTCGATGTCGATTTATCAATGTCCGTCCGTCTGTCCGTCTGTGGAAATCACTCTAGCTTCCGAACGAAAATGAAGTAGATTGATAAAATTTTACTCAAATGTGTACTATGTCTGCAGGACTTTCGGTATTGAAAATGGGCCATGTAGGTCCACGTCTTCGTATAGCCCCTATATAACGGTACCTACCGATATTCGGTATTTTGATGATTCTAGCGACATTTTTTACTGGAATTATTTCAAAATTAATATTTAAAGTTCATAGTAGATGCTACGGCTTAAGACAGAAAATGGACCATGTAGGTCCACGTCTTCGTATAGCCCCCATATAACGGTACCTACCGATATTCGGTATTTTGATGATTTTAGCGACATTATTTACCGGAATTGTTTCACATTTTGCATTTGAAGTTCATAATGGATGCTACAGCTTATCACAGAAAGTTGTCTGTGCAGGTCCACGCCTTCGTATAGCCCCATAAAACTGTACCCCCGATCTTCGGTATTTTCATGTATTTAGCGACATTATTTACCGGAATTGTTTCAAATTTCGCATTTGAAGTTCGTGAAGTTCGATATTACAGCCTATGACAGAAAATTCCCTGTGCATTATAAACAGATTTTTTTTCAAGTTTCGCATTTAAATATTGTAGTAGCTTGTGACAAAAGTTGCCTATGCAGGTCCACATCGTCGTATAGACTCTAATATACGGCTACATTAGGTATTTTCAAGATTTTTACAGATTTTTAAGGGTTTTTATTTTTTTGAAAATTGTTAAATTTGTACCAAATGGTGGAGGGTATTCAAAGTTCGGCCCGGTCGAACTTACAGCTTTTTTACTTGTTTTATTGAATGAAAGCAAAACATGTCGGAGATAGCATCAAATTTTAGAATTAGTTTGAAATTGTCCGTATTGGTCACCTTTGGCACTAATTATGGCCTTCAAACGGCCAATGAAACCGTCATACGCTGCCCGAATGTTGCTCTGCGGTATTTTGGTCCAATCCCGGCGAAGCGCTTGCTTGAGGTGATCGACCCTGTGGTATTTTTTTTTTTTTTTGCAGTCCAAACCTTGCTTTCCAAAATACTCCACACACAATAGTTCAACGGTTTGTTATCCGGAAATTTTGGTGGCCATTGTGCGCTGGAAAGAAGCGAGGAACCTCTTTTTGTAACCATTTTTGGGTGGCGCGCACACCATCACCATGGCCGGCGCTTGAGTTCTGGTGGCCAACCGAATGTGCACACCAGATCATTTTGTTTGTTTACAAACTGCTGGATAACAAATGTTTTCCCATCGGAGAAAACAAAATACAGCAGTTCACCACACCCGGCCAAGCGAAGCAACTCTTTAGCTCTTTTGAGTCTATTTTCTTTCGGTTGCGGTGTAAGTTCTTGCACTTTTTGGAATTTCAATGGTTTTACCCCGAGCTCATTTTTCAATATTTGCCGAATGGAATATTGCGATATGTTCAGCTTTCGGCCACTGCGACGCGGGTTTCGATCAAGTCGCTGCTTTACCTATAAATGCAGCAGTCTGAAGTTGGTTGCAGTTTTTTCATCTCACCCTGTATTCGGCATTTTTAATATTTTAACGGATTTTACTTTTAATTTCGTTTTTTTAATATCCACATTTGTTCCAAATGGTGGAGGGTATTCAATGTTCGGTCCCGCCAAACTTACTGATTTTTTTCTTGTTCTATACTCGTAACTTCTAATTTTAAAAAGCATTCTAGTTGCGAACTCGTTTATTTTTATAATTCATTTATTTCATATTTACATTTTTAAATAGGTTTTACAAATATTTTTATGTCTAATTTCCTATTCTAATTCACTTTGTTTATTTCATAAGTTAACCTACCTATAACTAGTAACATTATTTGTACCACGTACCAAGTGTGGGTTGGGTGTAAGTGGAGGCAGGGCTGTTTGGCTTGTGGTCGCAACATTTGTTGATGTTGGTGGTGGCAGTAGAACATTCAAAATCATTTGTGACATTTGCGAACGAAACTGTAAATTTTGCAAATCATTCATTTTCTTCATGTGCGGCAAAAAACTCAAGAGAAAATTTCGATCAGGATCCTCCGCATCCAGATGAGTGGTGGTGGACTTAATATCCTCTTGTGTGGATTGTATGAGTTTTTCTTCCTCTCTCTCCAAATCTCTGAGAAAATGAATTCGCTGTTGCTGCTGCATTTGTGGTTGTTGTTGCTGCCGCTGCTCTTGTGGCCGTGAGAGAGGTTGTTCAGTTCTGTTATTGTTGTCCGTGAGCGGTGGTGGTGGCTTTTGGCTCTCTTTGGAATTTTTGGGAACGATTTTTACTTTTATTGAGGCCGGTAAATTCAAGGTTGTCAGGCAATTTTGAATATTG